CAGAGCACCCAGGAGAAGACACCAAGCCAGGAAGAGACTAGGAGGACTCACTCAGTGCTGCATCCCATTGTGTGGCCAGCAGGTCTGGACGTGGGAGAGGGTCCATCCCTGCTCTGGTGTCCCCGAGCTGCCCACATCCCCAGGCACATCCCCTCGAGGTTTGTGTAGACCCAGGGGATGCAGGGATGGAGGGGACGGGCAAGAGGGGAAGGGACCAAGCCCAGAGCACCCAGGAGAAGACACCAAGCCAGGAAGAGACTAGGAGGACTCACTCAGTGCTGCATCCCATTGTTCTGGAAAGGAAAAACAGGAGCAATGAGTGATGAGAGGGGACAGCTTCTCACCCCATGGTGCTCCTATTGGAGTGGGCAGAGCTCGAGCAGATCCCAAATTCCTTCTGTCTGGGGATTGAAACTGACCCCCAAAGCCTGTGAAAGGCTCCCTTCAGCCTGGTCACATTCTGTGTCTGTTGACCAGCAGGTCTGGGCATGGGAGAGGGTCCAGCCCTGCTTTAATGTCCCAAAGCTTCCCACACACCAAGCCAGGAGGAGATCACAGAGACTCACCCAAATCTGATTCTCGAATCCCTGCAAAGGAAAAACAGCAGCAATGAGTGATCAGAGAGAACACCTTCTCATCACACACCTGCAACCACAGGAGTGGGCAGATCCCAAACTCCTCCTTTTTTTCCAGAGTAGGAAAACACTCCCAAAGGCTGTGAATGGCTCCCTCCAGCCTGGTCGAGTCCCACAACTGGTCCCCAGGGATTCTGCTCAGGGGAGAGGGTCTACCCCTACTTTGGGGTCCCCGAAGTTGCCCACCCGCCCAGAAATCTCCCCTCGTGGTTTAGCCGGAGCAAGGGTATGCAGGGGTGGAGCGGATGAGCAAGAGGGAACTGGCCAAACCCAGACCACCCGGGAGAAGACACCAAGCCAGAAGGAGCTCATGGAGACTCACTCAGTGCTGCATCTCGTTGCTCTGGAAAGGAAAAACAGAAGCCATAAGTGATGAGAGGGGACAGCTTCTCATCACATGGCTGCTCCTGCAGGAGTGGGCAGAGCTTGGGCAGATCCCAAATTCCTCCCTTTGGGCAATGCGAACCAAGCCCTAGGCCTGTGAATGGGTCCCTCCAGCCTGGTCACATTCCGTGTCTGTTGGCCAGCAGGTCTGGGCATGGGAGAGGGTCCACACCTGCTCTGGTGTCCCTGAGCTGCCCACCCCCCAAGGCACATCTTCTCGGGGTTTTCCTGCACCCAGAGGATGCAGGGATGGAGAGGATGGGCAAGGGGGGAAGGGTTGAGCACAGAGCACCTGGGAGAAGACACCGAGATATGTGGAGCTCATGGAGACTCACCCAATTCTGCTTCTCGATTCCCTGGAAAGGAAAAACAAAAGCAATGAGTGATCAGAGATTACACCTTCTCATCACACACCTGCAACCACAGGAGAGGGCAGATCCCTAACTCATCCTTTTTGCGATGTGGGAAAACATCTCCAAAGACTGCTCACTTCCCATGGCTGGTGGCCAGCAGGTCTGAGGTGGGAGAGGGCCCATCCCTATTTTGGTGTCCCCGAGCTGCCCACCCACCACAGGCACATGCCCTCAGGGTTTACCCAGACCCAGGGGATGCAGGGATGGAGAAAATGGGCAAGGAGGGAGAGGGTCGAGCACAGGGGGCCCAGGAGAGGCCACAAGAAGCTCATGGAGACTCACCCAAGAGTGCAGCTTGTTCCCCTGGAAAGCAAAAGGAATATTTGGTCAGATCCCAAAAGTGCTCAAGATCAAGTAAGCAGAGCTGGGGAAACCCCAATGTCCTCCTTTTTGGGGAGTGGGAAAACACTCCCTCTGTCCCAGGATGGCTCCCTCCAGCCTGGTCATATCCTGTGGCTGCTCCCCAGGGACTCTGGACAGGGCAGAGGGTCCATCCCTGGTCTGGTGTCCCCGAGCTGCCCGCCCACCCCCAGGTACATCCCCTCGGGGATTGCCCAGGCCCTCTGGGACTCAAGGATGGAGGGGACGGGCAAGGGGGGAAGGGGCCGAGTGCACAGAGCAGCCGGGAGAAGACACGGAGCCAGAAAGAGCTCACGGAGACTCACTCAGTGCTGCATCTCGTTGCTCTGGAAAGGAAAAACAGAAGCCATAAGTGATGTGAGGGGACAGCTTCTCATCGCATGGCTGCTCCTGCAGGAGTGGGCAGATCCCAAACTCCTCCTTTTTTCCAGCATGGGAAAACACTCCCAAAGCCTGTGAATGGCTCCCTTCAGCCTGGTCAAGTCCCACAACCAGGCCCCAGGGATTCTGGTCCATTCCTGCTCTGGTGTCCCCCACCCCACCTTTCCCTCCCGACCCAGGGAGTGCAGGGATGGAGAGGACAGGCAAGGGGGAAAGGGACTGAGCACCCAGGAGAGGACACTGAGGCAGGAGGAGCTCACAGAGACTCACCCAGTTCTACATCTCGTTCCTCTGGAAAGGAAAAAAAGAGAAGCAATGAGTAATCAGAGACGACAGCTTCTCATCCCATTCATGGGATAGGCAGAGCATGGGCTGAGCCCAAACTCCTGTTTTGGAAGTGGGACAAGAACCTCTGGCTCCCAGGAGAAGGTTCTGTGCCCTGCCCCATTCCCCCCCCCAGTCCATCCAGGCACTCTGCAGTTATGCCTGACTTAAGCAGAGATTTAAGACTCAGCCTGATCCCGTGCCCAGATGCCAAACCCAGTGCTCTCCAGTCCCTTCTGTGCTCCATCAGCCCACATCAATGACCAGAGAACCAGCAAGAGCCATCCAAAGCTATGTCCCTCCCTGGAGGCTCCTTTCTCAGGAGGCTTTGCTGGTGGCAGGGGCCAGGACTCACCCAGCGCTCTGGACTGCAGCCCTGGAAAGCAAAGGCAGAGGAAGAGGAGGTCAGGAGAGCGGCTGCTTTGTCACTGATGAGGAAGTCCAGCATGGGAAAACACTCCCAAAGCCTGTGAATGGCTCCCTTCAGCCTGGTCAAGTCCCACAACCAGGCCCCAGGGATTCTGGTCCATTCCTGCTCTGGTGTCCCCCACCCCACCTTTCCCTCCCGACCCAGGGAGTGCAGGGATGGAGAGGACAGGCAAGGGGGAAAGGGACTGAGCACCCAGGAGAGGACACTGAGGCAGGAGGAGCTCACAGAGACTCACCCAGTTCTACATCTCGTTCCTCTGGAAAGGAAAAAAAGAGAAGCAATGAGTAATCAGAGACGACAGCTTCTCATCCCATTCATGGGATAGGCAGAGCATGGGCTGAGCCCAAACTCCTGTTTTGGAAGTGGGACAAGAACCTCTGGCTCCCAGGAGAAGGTTCTGTGCCCTGCCCCATTCCCCCCCCCAGTCCATCCAGGCACTCTGCAGTTATGCCTGACTTAAGCAGAGATTTAAGACTCAGCCTGATCCCGTGCCCAGATGCCAAACCCAGTGCTCTCCAGTCCCTTCTGTGCTCCATCAGCCCACATCAATGACCAGAGAACCAGCAAGAGCCATCCAAAGCTATGTCCCTCCCTGGAGGCTCCTTTCTCAGGAGGCTTTGCTGGTGGCAGGGGCCAGGACTCACCCAGCGCTCTGGACTGCAGCCCTGGAAAGCAAAGGCAGAGGAAGAGGAGGTCAGGAGAGCGGCTGCTTTGTCACTGATGAGGAAGCATCTCACCAGGGTCTCTTGGACCTTCCCACCAGCCAGATGCTCAGGCCATGCTCCATGTCCTCCCACCCACAACCCATTTCCTTCTTCCCATCCTTCCATTGCCCAAAGAGCTTCTTTTAAGGAAGGCAAAACCTGTTCTGACACAACTCTGATCCCATTCCGTGTACGTCCATGGGCCAGGTATCAGCCTCGCGCCACCCCGATGCCCTCCACTCCATCCCCCCTGCTACAAACTCACCTTTCCTTCGCCAGAGACAATCCATGACAACATAAATCATCAGAAAAAGCAGGGCGAATGCAACCACAAATCCAATCCAGAAATCATCCTTGTAGATAATGGGAACTGAGAAATAAGAAAACACCAGGAGAAGGCCTCATTTTACACTCCCCTGAGTGAGGAGAAGAAAAAACCTAAAACTACTTCAAATTTCCAGTTCCTCAAGCCTTGTGCTGGGAGACCTAGGCTCAACAGGACATCATCCTCCCCAGCCCGTGGACACCCCAATGATCCCCTGAAACACACCAGGATCATGTCTCCTGCAATAAAACTCACTTCTGGGTGCACCCCCCGCCCCTTCCCACTCTCCCCACATATTTCTCCAGCCCCCTGACATCAAACACCCCCCAAGCAGCGTGGCAAACCCCAGCCCTGCTGCCATCCTGCACCTGAGATGTACAGGGACGACGCCTGCTCCTGCTCCAGGAGGCTGTTCCTCATCACGCACCACACTTTCATGCCTGCCTTCCACCTCACAATGATGACGTCTTCGATCTCAAAGAGGCCCCTCTCATCTGGGGAATGTCTCTGGGAGACCGAAGGGAGATGCTGCCCGTCACCATCCTTCCACAGCACCTGTGGTGGCGGGTACCAGCCGGCCGATCGACACACCACCCGGATGCTTATTTCATCGTAAGCCTCCTGAGAGAGAAGAGGGACAGAGCCCATGGCTGGGGGAAGAGCCCAGGGTTGCCCAAAGTTAGGGATGGACCCAGCTCAAAGGCCAAGACCCAACCGCGCTCCAGACACATCCCAGGGTGCCCAGGGGGCTGTGGGGCTGGCCATGTGCTCCTCATACCACCAAACCCACCCCAACATCTGCAGGAACCAGAGAGCCACGTGCTCCTCACACAGAATCACGGAATTGTCAGACTTGGAAGGGACCTCTAGAGATCATCTAGTCCACACCAACAAACCCACCCCAACATCTGCAGGAACCAGAGAGCACTGATGACCCCAGATCTCCCATACAACAACCTGGCAGAGCAACACTGAGCAGCCGAGCTTTGGCACCTCAAGGCAGCATCACAGAACCAACACAGCATCACCAGGACACCACAGAGACTCAAGGCCACCACATCCATACTGCTCTGCCCCCAAGAACACCTCCAACATCACTTGCGTGCTCCCTCCTGGGCAGGCACGGATGGGAAGAGAACCCTCGCACCCCACCTCTTTCAGTGGCTCATGGCCTTCCGCACTGAATGGATGGACGTGAGGATGGGACAGAGCTATGAGAGGGACACACCAACCCAGGGACACCTGCACCATCCCCACGAAACACTACAGAGGCCACAAACCTGCCACCTCCAGCTCCACCACAGCTTCTCCATAAGAGGCAGCATCTCGCACAGTGCAGATGTACTGGCCATCATCAGAGGGTCTCAACCCAGAGATCCGCAAGTCCAGGCTCCCATTGGAGAGACCATCTCTGACCAACTCTGTCCTTCCAGCGTATTCCTTCATCTGCTCACCATACTGGTCCTCTCCATTTCGGTAGAGGTGCACTGTTTCAGAGACCTGGTGCCGGATCCACCTGATCTCCAAGCTCCGAGCGTCCACCTCTGGGGACAAGTGACACGGCAGCACAACGTCCTGCCCCAAAGTGACAAGGAGAGGTCGGCCTGGTCCCACCACTCTGAACTCCACTTGGTGATGGAGAAGGACACAGGGAGACAGAGATTACACCCATGTTAATTTAGGGGCATCACATGACAAGGGGCCAGCTGGTATGAGCAGTACCTGCTGAATCCCGTGGGTGTTGCTTTGCCCTCCCCATGGCCCAAAGACACTGGAGAAACTGGAGAGGGAGCAGGAGGACTCAAAGGAGAATGAGGTATCCTGGGGGTGGCAACCTGCTCCATGACCCCCCAGCCCTGAAATGACGCCTACCCCAGCCCAGCCAGCCCCGGTAGAAAGGACAAAGGCTTTGCGGGAGGACCGCAGGGTGGGACTGAAGATGTCCCAGGAAAATGGACATGTGGCATCACAAGACCAAGGGAAAGTAAAAGCAGCCGAGCTCTGGGCTCAGCTGCTCCTGACCCACAGCACCTCCCCTGACCCACATCTGCCACCCAGAGCACGCTCAGCCCCCCCAGCCCTGCAGGATCCCTACCTGATCCCAGCCGGAGGAGGTGGAGAGTCAGAAAATGACTGAGGAGGCCCCATGGGCTCGTGGGGAACCCCATCTGCGTCCGGAGCTGGAGAAGAGGGTGGGAAGGGAGGCAGAGGGAGGGCAAGGGGGGGTTACAGCCGCCACAGAGGGGATGGGGAAGAAGGGCTGCACCTGCCCCCAACACCACTCCAGAAATCCCACCAAACCACCTGCACCCTGACGTCAGAAGGAACCCTTGGTCGAAGGCAGGACAGGATCCATGCAGGGCTCCCAGTGCAGACCCTTCTCTGCCCCACTGCCCTCCCCAGGGGTTACTTGAAATCCCTTACAAGATTTTAAGTTAAATTATATATTCTAAATTCATCACAGAAAGGAAATTCACTCACCAGACCAGTACAAGCTGCAGGAGGAAGTAACCGACACGATGCACCCAAGGTCTTGTACTTCTGCTCAGTTTCCGGTCGCAGTGCTAGCGGTTTTTGGGGCTGGGTTTTCAAACTCTACCCCCAGCACTTCATAACATAAAGGAGCACCAAAAAAGGTTAAAAGAGGAGGAAGGAAAAATATGTGCATTTGGCTGCGAGAAGGTTAAGGTTAATTTAGAGCTTGGTTGTGATTTTTGGACATGGCGGAGGAGCCCAGCAGTGTCTCTGCAGCCCCACAACAGCCGGGAGCTTGCGGGGAGCCAGGGACAAGGGGACAAGATGGTTTGGGGGCGCTTTGAGTGTCAGAACACCCCAGCTGTGCCCTGTCCCTCTGCCCTGCCAACTTGGGGGCTTCAGATTGCTGAGGAGGACATGTCCCCTGCTGTCCCCAACTTTGCATCCACATCCATACCCAAAAGAAGGGGCGCAGTGGTGGGTATGGAGTTTCTAAGACAGGGGGAATACCCAGGTCTGGGGGTCCTGGGGACTGTACCCACACCTGGGGATGTGGACAAGGGATGAGCCCGTCTCAAACCCAAAGGGGGTCCAGGAGCCCGTATCCAACCCCAGGGGGGTCCAGGAGGAGCAGGGAGGCTGAAGAAGCACAGGGGGCACCCACAAATCCCCAACAAGGTCAGAAGAGCAGGGAGGTCCTGTTCCCTGCCCTGAGTATCCCCAACATCCCATTCCCAGCAGATCCCACCCCCTGGTGCTCCGCCCCAGTTCAGCTCCCAGCTCCGGAGCAGCAGCAGCGATTCACCATTGTAATAAATCCATCTAAAATAGCCCCAGGATGGGAAATTCCTTCCACCTCCGTAAGTTTCCTCTTCCGCTGCACCTGAAGGCACTCCAGAACAAAGATGCTTCCATGCACAGACCCCACTATCTCCCAAAGAAGCAAAAACAATGCAGCCACCTTCACCCAGCACCCAACTGGGAAGGGAATTGGGTAGAGACAAAGCAGTTTTCTTCAGAAAAGGGTCATGTGGTGCAGGAGGATGCTCACGGTGAGTACATGCCGGGCAGAGCCCAGGGGATCCAAGGGGTTCCAAGAGGTTCCAGGGGGCTCTAGGGGTGTCCAAGAGGGGTTTCTGGGGTGTTGAAGGAGTTGCAAGGGAATAAGAGGGGATCTAAGGGGTTCAAGGAGTTCCAAGGGATGTTCGGAGTGGTACCGAGGGGATCCAAGAGTTTCTAGGGGATCTGAGGGGATTCAGGGGGTTCTGAGGGGCACCCAAGGGGTTCAAGGGAGATTCAAGGTGTTCCAAGAGTATCAAAGGGGATCCAAGAGTTTCCTGGCTGCCCGGTGTGGCTTAGCCCCAGCCAGAAGCTCCCTCCCTCCCTCCCTATTCCCCAGTGGGGTGGGGAGAAGAGGGATAAAAGCTGGGGAAAACACCTCGTGGGTTGGAATAAAGACAGTTTAAGACAACGGTTACGGCAGAGGAAAATATCTTTCTTAATTGTAACAAAATATACAAAATAAAGGGATACAAGAGCATTTGCCCTCAGCACCTGAGGACTGATTCCCCAGCCCATCCCCAGCACAGCGGGAGGGTCCCAGGCCCCCGGCAGCCTCTGTCTCTGTCCCGAGCAGGATGTCTGTGGGGTGGAATATCCCTTTGGATGCCTCATCCTGGCCGTGCTCCCTCTCAGCTGCGAGGGAAAGCTGGAAAAGTTCTGGACTGAAGTGAACATTTCTCAGCCACGTATAAATATATTTGTGACCAATGGCATTCTCACACTAAATCCAAACATCAGCAGTTACTAGAAAGAAAAATAACTCCATCCAAGCTGAAATGAGGACACCCCCGGCTGCTCAGAGACCCCACAGCAGCCCATGTGCCTGCCCCTCACTCCCCATCTTCTCCTACGGCTGGGGCAAAGAGAGGCACATCTCCTGCAGGATCCAGGAGAGAAGAGCGAGGAGTCTCTGGAGAAGGGCCGGGGTTGCTGGAGGCTACTGAGACGGTGGAAGGGGAGGAGAACATGTAGGAGGTGCTGTCGCTGAGGCACAGCTGGGTTTTCCTTGTCTCCACTCAAAACCAGGGGTGCAGGGTCTCCCTGTGGAACGAGGCTGGTGGGAAAGTGAAGATCTCGATCCCAGTGTCGGTATTGAGGAAAAGTCACCAGCCCCCAAGCCCACTCCAGTAAGACCCAAATCTTCCTGGGGAGCACGGACTGGGACAGGGGGATGGGAGTAGAGGTGGGAGCCATGAACTGGCCTTTCCTGTGCCTAACAGCACAGATCTCTCCTCAGGCTTTGGGTTCAGAGACCCCTTCCGCTCCAGAAACTCTGTGGCCAACCCAACAGCCCACCGCGAATCACCTCCCACCTCCCCCTCCACCTTCCAGCAGTGCCTCCCATTCCAGCACCCCTCCCAGCCCAGCAATCAGTAATTAGAACTAAATTTCTTGTGGTAAGGCAGGTTCTTCTGTATCCTTTCCCTTCTTGCATGTTTCATAGACTTCATCCGAGGTTCAGGATCAGACATGTTTGGACCCAGGTTCCCCATGCCTGCAGGGGACAGGAGAAGCCAGAGCATCAGGGACAGAGCTCAGTCATAGAATCATGGTTTGGCTTGGAAGGGACCTTAAAGACCATCCAGTGCCACACCCTGCCATGGGCACAAACACCTCCCAGCAGACCAGGTTACTCCAGCCCCCTCCAACCTGGCCTTGAACCCTTCCAGGGATGGGGCAGCCACAGCTTCTCTGGCAAACCTGGGCCAGAGTCTCATGCCCTCACAGCAAAGACTTTCTTCTCATCTAAATCTCTCCTCTTTTAGTTTAAAACTCTCTTCACTGGCCAGCCCAGGTACACCTCCCAAACAGGGAAAAGGAGGAGAACTCCCCATAAAAAAACATCAAATAACATTAAATACCCTCTTCCCTCAATTCTGAGGATGCAGAAAATTTCTCCGCTCTACGGAAAGAGAAGATCAGGTCACATCCCATGGTTGTTCCCCAGCAAATCTGAGGGGAGGTGGTCCATTCCTGGGCTAGTGTCCCCAGTCTGCCCACCGCCCCAGGCACTACCCCTCAGGGTTTGCCTGGACCCAGGGAATGTATGGAGGGAGAAGATGGGCAAGGGCGGAAAGTGTTGGCCACAGAGCACCCATGATAGAACACCAAGGCAGGGGAAGCTCACAGAGACTTACCCGGTGCTGCAGGTCGTTGCTCTAGAAAGGAGAAACAGAAGCAATGAGTGACAAGAAGGGACAGATTCTCACCCCATGGAAGCTCCTGCAGCGGTGGGCAGAGCTTGGGCAGAGCCCGAACTCATTCTGTTTGGGGAGTGGGAACAGAGCCCCAAACCTGTGAATGGCTCCCTCCAGCCTGGTCAAGTGCCACAACTGGTCCCCAGGGATTCTGGTGAGGGGAGATGGTCCACCCCTGCTCTGCTGTCCCCGAAGTTGCCCACCCCCCCCAGTAATCTCCCCTCGTGGTTTCGCTGGACACAGGGGATCCAGGGGTGGATAGGACAGGCAAGAGGGCAAGGGGTCGAACCCAGAGCACTCAGAAGAAGACACCAAGCCAAGAGGACCTCACGGTGACTCACTCAGTGCTACATCTCGTTGGTTTACAGAGGAAAAAAAACAAAACAATAAGTGATGAGTGGGGACAGCTTCTCATCCACTAGCTGCTCCTGTTGAAGTGGGTAGAGCCTGGGCAGATCCCAAACTCCTTCTCTCTGGGGACTGGGAACAGACCCTCAAAGCCTGTGAATGGCTCCCTTTAACCTGGTCACATCCTATGGCTGGTGTCCATCAGGTCTGGGTAGGAGAGAGGGTCCATTCCAGATCTCATGTCCCCCAGCTGGCCACCCCACCAAGAACATCCCCTTGGGGTTTACCCACACCCAGGGGATGCAGGGATGGAGAGGACGGGCAAGGTGGGGAAGGGTTGATCACACAGAACCCGGGAGAGGACACCAAGCCAGGAGGAGATCATCACGACTAACCCAATTTTGCTTCTCGATTCCCTGCAAAGGAAAAACAGAAGCAATGAGTAATCAGAGTGAACATCTTCTTATCGCACGCCTGCAACCACAGGAATGGGCAGATCCCAAACTCCTCCTTTTTGGGATGTGGGAAAGCACCCCAAAACCCTGTGAATGGCTCCCTCCAGCCAGCTCAATTCCCATGGCTGGTGGCCAGCAGGTCTGGACGTGGGAGAGGGTCCATCCCTGCTCTGGTGTCCCCAGGATGCCCACATCCCCAGGCACATCCCCTCGAGGTTTGTGTAGACCCAGAGGATGCAGGGATGGAGGGGACGGGCAAGAGGGGAAGGGACCAAGCCCAGAGCACCCAGGAGAAGACACGGAGCCAGGAGCAGCTCACGGAGACTCACTCAGTGCTGCATCTCGTTGCTCTGGAAAGGAAAAACAGGAGCAATGAGTGATGAGAGGGGACAGCTTCTCACCCCATGGCTGCTCCTATTGGAGTGGGCAGAGCTCGGGCAGATCCCAGCTTCCTTCTGTCTGGAGATTGGGAACTGACCCCCAAAGTCTGTGAACGGCTCCCTTCAGCCTGGTCAAGTGCCGCGGTAGGTCCCCAGGGACTCTGGACATGGGAGGGGGTGTACCCCTGTTCTGGTGTCCCCGAGCTGCCCACCCACCACTGGCACATGCCCTCAGGTTTTACCCAGACCCAAGGGATGCAGCGATGGAGAAAATGGGCAAGGAGGGAGAGGATCGAGCAGAGGGGGCCCAGGAGAAAACCTCAAGCCAAGAGGATTTCATGGAGACTCACCCAAAAGTGCAGCTTGTTGCCCTGGAAAGCAAAAGGAATACTTGGTCAGAGAGAACAGCTCCTCATCCAAAAAGTGCTCAAGATGGAGTAAGCAGAGCTGGGGAAACCCCCAAACTTCTCCTTTTTTGGGGAGTGGGAAAACACTCCATGTGTCCCAGGGATGGCTCCCTCCAGCCTGGTTACACCCTACGGCTGGTCCCCAGGGACCCTGGGCATGGGAGAGGGTCCATCCCTTCTCTGGTATCCCCAGGTTGCCCACCCGCTCAGGCACGGACCCTCAGGGTTTCCCCAGGCCCCAGGGGATGCAGGGACAACGGGGACAGGCAAGGGGGAAAGGGACCGAGCACAGAGCCCCCTTTACAGAACCCCGGTAGAGAGCCAGAAGGAGCTCACGGACACTCACCCAGTGCTGCATCTCGTTGCTCTGGAAAGGAAAAACAG